TTGGCTAACAAAGACTCCATCTGTGTGTGGATGCTTTGCTGTTGTTCCCAGGAATAAAACCAGCAGTGTCAGCTTGGGAGAGCAAGGGCTGCAGATGAACACAAAGGGCAGAAAGACAAATTCCGTGAGTATAAAAGTGCTAGTGGCTCCAGGAGGAGATCCTTGAGAAGCCCTGTGGCTTCTTCGTTTACAAAAGCAATTGGTCTAGCTAGCCATATAACCTTGAGCTTTAAAGCCCACAATGTCCGGATCCTTAATACCACAGTGGTGTCTGCAGTGGGAGAACCTGGGTTTGGGTTTGTTCTTAGCTTCTCAAGGAATTTTTGATGTTGTCAGAAGTAAAAGTCTGTAAGGGGCTATGAGACATGGTAACAATACTGGAAATTCACCATGCACCACTCAGACTGGCTGCCTCATTTTCTTCATCTCAGTTTCCAAAGGTACAGAAAAACAGGAGCAGCTAAAGCCACTCTGAAGAGGAAATTATTTTCTCCACAGTTTTAAGCCCCTGGAACGTGTCTCTGTGTGATTTTTTTAAAAAATTACATGATTCTGCTTAAGGTCTTTCTTACACCTGTCTAAGAATATGTGTGGGGTTACATTTTTTTAACTTTATATTTTAGTTACATTTACTGCTTGGACTATTGACTGGTAATGCAGTACCTTATTGTGTATTATCTCACTTAACTCACAGATCTGACATCTCTGGGGAAGAATCAGGCTGGAAGCAAGTGTGGGAATACCCAGTCTCAGATTTTACTCCTACATGGGACTGAGTATTCACATGGCTTTTGCAGACAGAGCAAGGCATTTCATAGAATCATAGAATTATAGAATCATATAGAACAGTTTTGGTTGGAAAAGACCTTTAAGACCATTGAGTCCAACCATCAGTGCAGCTATTTCTGCACAATAGGGCTGAGGCACCTGAAGAGATTTCTGCAGCCGGCAAATATTCAGTACCCAAAAGCAAATGAATAAAGAAAAAAAGCACTAACATGCTGAGATGGTTAACGACATAGATTTTCTAAGAGTCCTCAGCATCAGTGAACTTGTAGTGTAGGGTTAATGGTTGGACTCGATGATCCCAAGGGTCTTTTCCAACCTGAATCGTTCTATGATTCTATTTGCTGATGGCTTAGTTCCTGAGCATCTGGACCTCTCCCAGCCTTGCAGCTGTCTCTAGCCCCAGTGTTTGTCTGGCATGTGGCTCAGTGACAGGAACAGCCAAGAGCTGTAGTGGAGCTGGTGCAGGGAAACCGCAGAGCTAGCTGAGTCAAGCCATCTCACACCAGCCTTCCTCAGTGTTTGGAAATGTCAGGTAGGTCTATGCCTCTACCACCAGCCCCAGAGGTGTGCTGGCAGGTGGCTGGGGTGGGAGTGCAGCACAGCACTGCTGTTGCAAGCCCACGGGCTAGAAAATCCTCTCCAGATGAGTCACACAAAGTTCTTGCGGCTTTCACGTTGGCTAGAGTATTTGTAGATTCATCTGGGTGTGATTGCCCAGCTTCTCCAGGAACTACAACCCTGATGGTATTTGTAAGGTGGGTCTGAGGTACCTTTAATGACTGCTTGGCCACATGAACCCAGTAAGAGAAAATGTAAAGTTCATGAAGAAGATGGTGGCAGATGAGATGTGAAAATATAGATGTTGAAATGATCAGTCTGCTTTAAAGCAGCATGCAACTTGAATTCAACAGCATGAAGGGGTTTGGTTGCTTTAAATTGAAAGTATAGGAGGAGGAAAAAAAATTGACACCAAAAAAAAAAAAGATTTTATGACATCCATCTGATACCAGCATAGATCCGCCTGATTATCTACGATGCTGCATCTGTGAAGGCTTTGTGTGTGTGTGCCTATTCTTCAGGCTCAGAAATTTTTTAATGGTGATTTATTTATTTTAATGGTAATCTGCTTTTGGCTCAAGACCTAAACCAATTATGCAAATATTGACCAGCAGAGAAATTACCTGTGTGGTGTTGCCAAGGTTACTCACCAGGCAGAACAGTTCTCTTGCACTAAGAGCTCTTTCAGGACCCAGCGTTCACCACCCAGGTTAGTGTAACACACTCTTCCAGTCATCGGAAAGTTCCTGCCAGCTTTAAGTGTACATCAGAACAGTGTCACGGAGGTCATGAATGAAGCTACAGCAGGAAATAGGGACTTCACAGCCAGAAGGCCCTGACTGCAGGCGAGTTAGTTTGGCAAGTCCCAGATAAATCTAATAAATAGCCTCAACTATTTTTGTCCACGTGAGCATGGCAATTGTTTCTTCAGCACAAGCACTGCAACTACCTGACAAACCACTGCCCCCTGTATTGGGCAGCAACATTGAGCTGTCCCCGTGCCAGCCTGTCTGGAGCAAGGACAGCCCCACAGCAGGCTGCCTGCCAGGGGCCATACGAAGGGACATCTCGCTGCCCTGGACCTGGCACCTCTTTCACACTTTATGGGTCCCTTCCATGGCACGGCAGATTTGTCACCCTCTTCCCCTGACTGCTTTGAGGGCGTAGCTCTGGGGCAAAAGATAAGGCTGGCTCCCTCCACAATGTGAGCTGGGCTCCCCCACTGACCACATCAGTTCTCAGAAGTGACATTTCCGAGCTCAGCTACAAGCACAATCACTGCAGTGACTACAACATAGACTGCTTCTGTAACTGAGCAGCAGCAGTTCAGCATTTATTGCTCAGGGTGGGGAGAAACCAAGAAACACACTCAAAAATCTGGTCATCAAAGCAAAAGACAGCAGATGCCAGTTTTGCAACCAGCTCTAGCATTTATTCCACGCATTGGGCACTGTGGGAAAAGAGCTTTCACCCAACAACAGTTGCAGCTACCACCTGTCAGTCAAGGATTTAACAAAAGGAGGGAGAAACAAAAGGGGGGAGGGGAAGGGGAAGAAGAGAACCAGATGAGGAGAATGTAGCATCTCAAGAGATCTTTTTAAGTTATTCATGACTAAATAATCATTAATTTGGTTATGAAGAACTCTCTAACCCTTCGCCCACGGCGGGAAGTTGCCGTGCAGCAGGAACCATTTGTGAAACCACTCCATGGAAGGTCAACATACCGTAGGTTCAATATGTCTAACGTGCATTCATTTCACCTTTCCCACCGCCCCCAATAAACTGAAAATTAAACATTGAATTTATTTAAGAATCTTTACTTTTTTTTCAATTTAAATTATACTTCCAAAATACAAGTGAAAAAAACCTCACAATGAAATATGTTGCTAATTTCTACAAAATAATCTAAATAATAATGCACTTACATCATTTACACAATTAACCTTCACAATAAAATAGGAGCGCTTAGATCAATATTTACATATTGACAGAAAACATGGTTGCGCAGCCATCTGCTTCTGCTGCTGTCTCCTGCTGGGGTACCTCTGGGAGACCACAGCCTGCAGTTGCACGCAAATCCTTCTGCACGGAGAAAATCCTGCCAAAGGTCTTCTAGGTGCAGGGACCTGCCCATAGGGTGCCAAGGAGACCAAAATGGTGGCAAATACTTGCTTTTTCGTCTTAAAGCTACCACTGTAGCACATGAGCACACAGTAATGAGTTACTTAAGGAATTCCCTGACGCAGAATTTTGCTCTGCTATATTAGGCACTTCATTATAAAAGTTATTTATTATGGCTTACACAAAACAATCCACTTTCTTCAGGATAGGAACTTGCCAGAGTCAGTGGGAGAGACACATCCAAGGGCATACATCAAGGGTTAGGGCTGGGCTGGCCAGTAAATGGCCACACTAGTTTAAACCAGGACAGCACACTCTGAGCCAATGTTTCCGGTTAGCCTGCATTAGACACTTAGATTGTTTTATCAAGACCCGATCTTTCCAGCAAGTCAAGCAGTCAGTGTACTTTAAAGCTTAGTATATCTCACTTCTCTCCAAAAACTACTGGTAACTAGAGCTTTCCCTCTTATAATAATTTGACTACTTACATCCATGCTGTTCAACATGCCATTGGCTGACATATCCCATGTATGATTGTCTTAAAAGAGTACACCATAGGTTGAGGGATTATTTACATATCTTAACATATAGAAAATAAAGTTGTAGCTTACCAAATAATAAATATAGGTGAACAGAGCACAATATTGAAATAAAATAAATTAGAATGATTCTCCAGGTTTTTAATTCCCTCCCTTGAGGCCTGAGCCAGAGACCATAAAAAAAAAAAGAAAAAGAGATGTTTTTTCAATGGCCCAAAAAGGTTTTGGCTAGGGCTCCTTACTAGACACTGGTTGTTTGAAAGGAGATGCTTAGCTAAGCTGACAGATATTTGAAATCTATATGATCAAAGAGCAAAACTTGCCTCTAAAAGGAGTCTTTTAGAGGCAAAACATTTTAGAACAAACATTAATACTGCATTTATTAGGAAGAATATAGTTCTTGCAGATTGTCTCGTCATTAAATCAGCAGCAAGGAAATAAGCATACAGTTAAGAATACAACGTATTTGTGAGGCAAATACGTGTTAGTGCACATGATTTTCCAAAAACTTCACTCCTCAGCTACATTTGTGCATATTTCAGAATGCTTCTAACTAGATGGTTAATAAAAGTCTTCTCATGACTATAGCTAAGTTTGCCATTTAAAAAAATTAACTGAAAAACAGTTGGGAGTAACTTACTCAAGAGCGATGCCAAACTTCAGGTCCAAATATATAAGAACGCTGAGAAATTTGGAATCTATGTAAAAAAAATCTTAAAGCTTAGGTCTATAAAACTTGAAATTAAAAAAAAAAAAAAGATTAAAAGCAGTGAATCTGCTCTCAGAATTGCACGCTCACCAGGTTTGTAAACTCTACATGAAGTCAGTGATGCCCTGTTCACTGCAAGAGGTACAACATAGGTGCTCTACACACAGCAGTGCAGATGCTTCATCTGTCTTTTCCTTCGTGCCCCCTTCTTCTGTCCCTCGAGGATCGAGCATTTAAAGTAACTCAGTAGCTGGAAACTCTGCCTTATGGGACAAGGTCTGACTTTACATGGAAGGGGGGGTGACAGGCGTCCACGTGGATGTGAGCCTGGCGTGTGAAGAGGCATCGTACTGGCTGTCAGGCAGGTCCGTGGGTGCCCCAGTGCTGCCGTCGTAGAGGGGGGAGGCGGAGGAGGTGGCGGTGACGGGGTGTGGGAGGGCCGTGTAGTGCGCTGGAGAGCTGCGTAAAAACTGGGAGCTCAGGCCGTTGGACATCCCGCTCGACTGAGAGACCGGAGTGATGGTGCTGTTACTCACGGTCCATAAGTTAGGATACTGGCTGGGAGAGGGGAAAGTGATGAACAGAAGTTATTGGAGGCTTTCAGCACCTGCTGGCAAGTTGCTCAGGTCACAACACAACTCCCAAAACTGGGACCACTCGCTGGAGGCAGTGAATTTTTTTAGGAAGTTCCCAGCCACTGCGAGGTAGGAAGGACCCCCAGGCAGGATGCGTGTTCATGGCAACACACCAATAAATTTAACTGCCCTGTTTTCCAGCAGCAAGCTCCAACGCTAGGTATACTGGCAAGTTTTGAGCCAAGCTGAGGAATGAAGAGGCTGGCTGAAAAATGCAGAGGTTTGAGAGCTGATTCCCGGGCCAGGCCATACCCTTGCCTCAGGGAATGGGCACGTGGTGGAGGTGGCTGGACACAGCAGCTCTTGGACCCAGGCAAGTTTGAGTCCGTGGCCACAAGTCTGTCTGGGCACCCATCCCCCTTGGGCGCCTCTGCAGCCAAAGAGTGGCAGGTGCCACCAGACAGCAATTCAGCTCTCCTTGCTCATCACCTTAGATTAGAAGAGGAAGAGCCAGACGGCTGCAGATAGCAGAGACACTACAGAAAGGGCTACTTGAAAGGAAAAAAGCCTTATCAGGACACTACAGTCTCCACCCTCTTTCTGTTCTGAGCTGCATACTAACACACATAACAAATGAAAAGAAACAAGATGATTCAAGAGAAATACTTCAGCCCTGCTGTATAATACTACACAGAAATTCCTAGCTATTGATCCCAAGCAGTTTAACAAGATAAATAGTATTCTTTCTGTACAGATAGGCACTTAGACAAAAGGGGTGGCAGATATGCCTTCCCTGAGGTCCCACAGTTCCAGTTCTACTGGTTTTATCTACTAGACAACTCAGTGCAGCAACTGAAATTCAGTGGTCTTTGCAGCTTTCCAAATACATATCCTGGGGGTCAGACAGAAAGAAGTGCTAGGAAAACCTGTTTACTTGATTAATGTGTGTTCAGGACTAAAAGTTATGTTCAGTAATACAGTTTTCTTATACCAGGTAGTATAGCACATGCCTTGGTTAACAGCTTAATGTCCATGTGCATGGTTCAGGTAAAAATACTCTCCATAAACCGAGTGGTAGGTCTGAGTTGCTGAGAAAGACGCCCAAACCTCAACCCTCTGTGTTTAATACCAAAGATTTTACCACTTCATCTGTATCTCTTTGAATTTTCAAGTTTTGCTCCAAAGGACTGACAGTAAGCTAAATTTCTGATAAATGGCACAAAAGTTTAAAAGAGTAAGTACAAAGAGTAAAAAGATAAATTTATATCATCACAAAATGGCAAAGGCTTTCACCAGGTGTATAATCCCATGCTGTGCTGTTTGTGTAGCAACACTTAAGAATAACTGCCCAAACTGCTTGCTCTTCCTCCACAGTACAGTTCACTACCCCTTTGTTTGTAATAGAAGAAGGATTTGTGGAGTTGGCTGGGAAATCGACAAGTGGCTAAAATGAAATGGATCAAAACCAAACTCTAACCTATTTTGTTTGAAAGATACAAAACTTAAAAGTGCATCCTCAAATTCAATGTGTAAGTTTGTCTAAGTGATTTGCAATCCTTATTCTATCAAACGTTGCTGTCACATGTATCTACATTTCCAAAACCAAAACATCTAAAAAAATGTAAAAGATCTTTGTATTTCTTCAACCTGTTTCCCTTGTGAATAGTCCTTCTCAGTGCCCCTCCAGATAGCTAAAGATTCACATATGGCCATAAGGGTTTCTAATTTGCTGGTGACTCAATCTCCTTTTTCAGCCTTCTCTTCCTAGAAAGTATCAATACACCGATTTGAGGGCTGCTGAGGGATGGACTCGCACCTGGAGCTGGTGGCTGTGCCAGTGCTGTGGCTCATGGGCAGCATCGTTGTGTGTGTGGGAACTCCCAGAGAAGACCAGTTGTCATGGGACTGCAGCATAGAAAGGCAGGCAGAGGAGTTGTCCACATAGGCTGCTGAGAAGACAAACACTTAAACACACTAGAATCAGACCAAATAACAGTCTTGTATTAATGTCAAACTTCCACTAGCATTTCCCCTTCTCATGGGTTGCTTTGCTAAACTTACAACTGCAAAGTTTTACTTCTGTGAGGGATCTAGGGCCAAAAAGCTGTCTTCACACCACCTGCTGCTTCAGCCCGTGCTTCTTTATTCAATCAGCGGGAGGAGGCAGGCTCCTGACTCACACTATCCTGAGCACTCCTCCAGGGCACCTTCTGTATCTCCATCATCTACATGGGCCAGTAACAGTCTGTCAGCCCTGGATAACAAGCGCATCGCTGGATGTGCTTGCTTGGTTTTGAGCCAAGGATGCCACCACAGGGTCCGAATTCTGCCTTAGGTACCAACAGGAGTGACTGGGCTGTGGCTGAAACTACTCATCTTGAGACCAAAACTGTCTGGCCAACAAGGTGGGGGCACTAGGAAGTTGTAAAGGGAATCCTGTACAGCCGCTCTTCTATACAGCCATCTGCAGTGAGAAGGAAGTTGCTGTGGCAGCTGCCTAGTGGAAGGAGAAGAGCTTCCTTGCTAGAGGACCAAGAACAAACACTGGAGGTGTTTTCTCCTTTCATTCTGTGTCAAGCCACAAAACTTGCATGAAATTTCCAAGATGCAAAAAAGCCCACAAAAAAAAATAGTTTTCCACTTTAAAATGAACTACAAAGCCACATACAACATTGGTCAGGCTGCATCTAGAAGTGTGAGTACTGCTTTACAATTCAAAACACTAAATATTCTTTTCAAATGGGAACCTTCAAGATCCATACAGGTTGAAGGGCAAAAATTGTTAACAGGCCCTTTTCAGAAGAAAGAAGAAAAAAAAAGAAAAAAAACCACAAACCACTGCTAAAAATGCCCTTCTCTTTTCCACCTTAAGTACCTGTGGCTTGGGGCACTAAAGCTATTAGGCGATTTCTGAGCACAACTTTAAAATCACTCTGCAGTTCACTCAGCTCTGTATTGTTTCTGTGTATCCAGTTGTGGCACATTCACTGAGATCAGCCTTAATGCACTGATGTTAACCACAGAAACAGGCAAGTAAAATTGAAACAGGCCCTCAGTTATTATGTGTTAATAATAAGTGACAGTAACAGAACCAGACACACGCTTATTCATTTCACTGTATTACTTGTAACTAATGATTAAAATCCTCACTTTTAAACTTTGAAAAAATAAACTCAAAGTAAGTTTAAACTCACTGGTTACAAGAATTCAAGAGCTAAGACAAAGCTGGCACAATATACCCTAATCAATTATTAAAAGACATTTCTACACACCCTCAGTTTTCCCACTGTAAAAGGACTGGGGACACGTCCTAGTCGTCCCTATTTCTTTGTGATGCTGGCCCCAAGCCCTCCGCGCAAACACAGCCGGAGAGCCACCTCAATTTCCGTGGCATGGCTCGAGATGCCCACGGCTCAAGGCTCACGTCCCTCAGCTCTGCTTCCCACCCCTTCCACCGAGCCGCAACACCAGACTTACTTGGAGAATTGTTTCTATGGGTGTAGGGGTTGGGGTAGGGGGCAGGACGGTGGTTCCTCAGCGACGAGTACCTTTCGCAGCTGTGAGCGGGGGAGAGCTGCAGCGGGGCTCCAAACTGAGGGTGAGGGTTGGCAGGTGGGCACAGAGTCCCCGTCCCGGGAATAAGCCAACTACCTACTGGGTGGGGGCAAGCGAGAGGCTTGTAAGACAGGTACATAGCGCAGCCAGGCAGGGCAAGAATCACAGTGGTGAGACTAATAATCAGTTGGCGAGGAAACACGCGCTCGGGAAAGGAAACCGTGTTTCAATGCGGCTGGAAAATCTGCATCTTTACAACTTTCTTAGAAAAAGCCCCGTGTCAAGCTAATGTTATTTTTTTAAACTGCCATTTAATTGCAACCACAGTAATGAAACACTAAAATGGTTAAGCTCTTGTTTAGGTAGGTGGTGCATGTTCAGTAACTCAGTGCAATCTTCTGTTTTAAATTGCCCTTTGGGAGTCTCAGTCTATAGCCAAGTTCTGAGATTTCTCAGGCTGCTGGTAACTCTTAGAAATTAAGTATTTTCACTGATACACAATCCCTACTGCAACTCAACTCCTTCACTTTATAGGCTGCACATGGGTTTTTTTGCAATAATACGTTAAAACAGAAATCATTAAAACACTAATGCTTTTTATTAAACTGAGAAAAAGCTTTTAAGCAAACGTCCCTGATTTTCTTCAAAGTACTTAAAAACAAAGTACCATTTCAATAATTTTCAGCTATATTTTGAAATAAACTCCTGTCTCCACACCCACATGAATGTTACTGTCCTTGTATACAAAGGTGGCTGTCTTTTTGGACATGAAGGTAACTGCAAGGTTCTATTAAAGGATTTTGAATGTAATACAAACTACACACACTGGGATCATAATGTTTATCCAATCATAAACCTTCATGAACCATGATCATAAGGATCAGTGATATTATTCTCCCTATGAACTAACAAGCAGCCAGCAATCACCGCTCATTTTTTTTTCTTAACAGATGAGATGGAAGAAATCAAAGTTACGTTCATGATGCACAACGAAAGGAAACGTACACTGGGAATACCCAGACTGTTGGTTGTCTCCCACTTCTTCCATCATGTCTTTGTGATCACTTCTGTAAAAGAAACCATGTTGTATTAGTTAAGAATATGCTTTTACAAATCTGTGTGGAAAAAAAAAACACCCCACACTTTAGAGTTAAGAGCTCTCACCTTTCTTTTGCATCAAGAAATGCCTTTGCAAACGGATTGTATTTAATTTTTAAAGCTGTGATCTAAAAACAACAACAAATATCTTTATTTGCAAGTATCACCGTTCATTATCATACAGATACTAGGATTTGAATTAGGACTGTCCACTGAAGTTAGCGAAATCACCATTTTTTTAAAGAAATAAGATTAGGCCCGTAACACCAACCTATAGACATCAGTTAAACAAGTCTGAAGCACTAGCAGAGGGCTAGGAATTCATCCCTCTGCCAAATTCTAAGAGACTGAATTGCCTGGGTTTATTGATCAGCTAAGGAAACAGCTAAGAAAGGCAATGCACTAGGTACTAGTAGAAAGGTAGTAGAGTTATAAAAAGCTTCACATTTCAAGCCAGAGAAGAATGGACATCAAAAAAATATCAGAAAGATTACTAATTTACAGATTCACTAAATATAGACATGCATTTTGGCTAACAGAGAAAGGCTAGCTTCGAAAACAGCACGTCCGTTTATTTCACTGTGTAGCCAAAAGGGACAATTGTATTTCTTAGCATACTCATCTGCCCCACAGAATCTTCTGAGATTTACAGCAGTGAATTTGCAGTGCGTATTGAGACAGTGATCAGAACTTTGCACTGTTATACATCCATACCACTTTTACATATATCAATTTCATTCTTTACGTTTAGCTCCAAACAAAGCATAGAACTGAAACGTGTGAAATGAGATCCCTTAGTTTGCTCTGTAACATGCACTTTGCCACTTGAAACCCCCTGGTACTTGCATCCGCTCTTGCCTGGTGTGCATACCTCCTCGTTCTGGTAGGCTGTCACGGCTATAAACTGGGTCTCTGGGAAGGAATGGCTGGTGATCATCCGCTGAGGGCCACCCACTCGTACGATATGAATCCTCGGCTCGTACTTGTGCAGCGAGTTCAGCATGATCTGTGAGCAAATGGACAGAGCAGGGAAGCGGTGACAGAGTGTCAGCAGATGCTGGCAGGTACAGAAGGCACTCGGGTCTTAAATCTTTCCAGCAGAGAAAAAAGACAATGGGTACAATAAGCCCTAAAACTGAAGCTGTGAGAAAAGGAACACTGCAGTCAGACACCTCAGCTTTTCGCCTAGTTATCCTCACCCCTGCTTCTTGACAGGACAGCTTCCAGAGTGACAGACATAGAGCCAGAAAGGTGCATCTGCCACATCATTGGCATTATCAGACCAGAAAGACATTTTAAAACAATAATCAAGACACCCGTCC